TCTTTCTTGTGCAAATGAGCAGAAACAATTACTATTACCCAGCAATGAAAAGTAATGACCCCTTAATGATATGAATCACTGTTCATAATTACAGATCAAAAATTACTATTGGTTTCATATGGAGAAGGATATACAGGGAATATATATATATTTTAAAGGATATGTATGTGTATGTATGTATATATGTATGTGTGTGTATGTGTGTGTATATGTGTATATATATATATGTGTATGTGTATGTATGTATATGTGTATATATATATATATATATATATATATATATATATATATATAAAAACATGGGGGATTGGAAGTGATGCAGACAATTACATTGATGGAAGTTACAATCTATCTGCAATATTAAGCTGATCTACCCCCCCCAAAAAAAAAAAAAACAGGGAAGTTGCTTTAACTCTGAGTTGATTGTAACGGTTATGTTTATACTTTGTCAGTCAGAAATTGTGCCATCTGTTTGATTGGTGTGTCTTATCCTGTTTTCTCTTATCAAGTGTATGTAGTGTCCTCTCCTTTCTCCTCTGGGATAATCAAGGGGACTGGCCTCTTGTCCACTGGGATCCTGGCTCTCAAGGAGATCACAGTAGGGGGAACTGTTTGTGGACTTTGGCTTGGAACTCGGAACTGTGTTTTCCTGTTCTAGAACAGCCTTGATGTGTCCTGTGAGGCTGTGATTCCACATGGAACAATGCCCTGTATGAGTGCCAACACGGTCTGACCTGTGGATGGGTTTCCTCTCTGGGGACACTCAGCAGTAGTTTATGACACTTGGAAATCACCCATATCAACATATCAACCTGTGTGTACTGTACTGTTAACATGCTGCTGAGGAACCTTAAATCTTTTTCATTTCATCAAAACCTTTACTTGTGAAACAACAAGCTAAGTAACAACAAGCTAAGCTATCATCACTTGCAGAGTTAGTCAGAAACCTCCACGCATGTTACGACAAAAGCACCAAATCATTCACTTTCTAAGCTCATCTCATGCTGGCTATTAGTGGAGAGTGGAGCTGTAGTTATTCTGAAATGTCTTGGTAAAGATCTCAAAGTTACTTTTAGGCCCCTTCTTGTGTGTAACCAAATGTAGCTTTTTTAGCCTCGTAGGTGGTAGGGTTCAAGCTGAAAGTCTCATCCAAAGCTGTAACCCAACATTAAAGACCCCTACAAACCTTCACACACCATATAACTCTCCCCCTGGGCCCTGGTAGACAACAGTGCTGAGGCCTGAGAGAGACCCTCTCCACTGATGTGCTCCAGCTGTGGACCTAACCCTGGACACCCCCCACCCCCCCCCCCCCCCCCCCCCCCAAGTCTCTCTTTCTCTCTCTCTTTCCCTCTCTGCTCTCTCTCTCTCTCTCGCTCTCTCTCCTCTCCCCTCTATGTGCAGCCTGGGGAAGTCCCGCATGATGACTTCCAGCTGGTCTATGTGAGTAGGGAGGAGGTGGAGGTGATTTGGTTTGATTTATCTCCTCTTAACTCTCTCCTCACCCTTGGTTCCTCTACCTCAAACCCTTTGTGTTTCATTTGGGGTAAGAGTGAGTCTCCTTAGATCAAAAAGTTTCCAAGGAGGTTTGACCTTGCTCACAGGAGAAGGACAGCCTTCCATCCTATCTGCCCTCTCAGGAAACTCCCCCAAACAGTTTTACAAGGCTGTCCAGATTGAGGAAGCCCTTATGGAAAAACCACATGATTTCACATGTGGAATATCACCTGATTTCACATGTGAAATGTCCACGTTTTGCACATGCAACATTATTTCATAATGTTATTATTATTATAAATAATGTAAAACCATGTGGTTTTGGAAAACTTCACGTGATGCTATTTCACATGAAGTTTCACGTGATCACACATTTTGGATTCATGGATAAAAATGTTAACATGATTCCCTACAAACAAAAATGTTGTTAGGAAGTCTCAGGGAACGTCATAAAATAGCTGCAATGTTTCCCTCTTACATACTTGACACACTTTGACATTGTGTATGTTTATTTATACAGTAATTATTATTCAACATGTCCTCACCTGGGATTTGAACTCACAACCTCCTGGTTCACGGTATTCCAATCTTCCTGCTATGCCACCATGTGTTCCTACACTTTGGACTTCAAAGTAAATCTCAGCTTTGTATAATACACTCAAGAATAGTATTATATTTATCATAGTGATTCAGGAGTAACATTAAAACAGAATAATATGCCCCACCAACATTAGACAACTATACTATTTGAGTTATCAGTTAATCTGACTATTCTCTCATCATTTATTTTATTTACTTATCCGAGGTAAGTACATTTTGCTGAGATAAGTACATTTGATCAATGATGAGAGAATAGTCTGATTAACAGATAACTAAAATAGCAGTGCTAAGTGCAAAGATATACTGTATTATAGTTAATGAATGTGTAGGGACTTATGAGAATTCTACAGAAAGATCAGCATAACCCAAATCCGGAGGTTTGCGACTTCAAATCCAAGGTGGGGTCATATTGAAAAGTCAGTTTTAAGTGATCATGTCAAATGTAATTATATTGTCATTGGTTAAAGATTTTAAAACTTTTTTTATTACATAATTTAGCTCAACAGCGTACCATTTAGCTTAAAGCTAGAATCCTTAATTGAAACAATACGAAAGCTGTCACTCTGCCTGTGTTTTGGTGAAAAGCTGAGGGATGGACCTGGCGAAATGTAACCACTCTCAAATTCATAGACAGAGCCAAATTAAATGTTTTACCATGTTTTGAGGCTATAGTGTTTATTTACATTTATGTTGTTTACAAACATTGTAGTAAAACAAGCTTGTATTTTGGGTTGAACTAAGCTCATGAGGCATTTATAAGTTATATTCTTCAAGAATCAATGGATATATATCATTAATTGATAAGTCCCTAAATGGATATAGCAATTAAGGATTCCCTACTCTCTCTCGCGCTCTCTCTCCCTGAACAAACAAGACAGCTATCTCTCTTTCGCTTTCCCTGTGGCCCGTGGAGCCCTCTGTCACTGCATTGCATTCTGGAACAATTACTGCTTGCACTGAGACCACCTAATAGTGAGTGTGTAATTGATGGCACATTTTAACAAGAAGAGACAGCAGCAGTGTGTGTGTAGGCATTGGGACAGAGGAGCTAAAGACACATAATGAAGATGATCTCCGTTTTACATCCTCGTTCAGTGGAGGCTCCTAAGAGGAGGAAGGGGAGGACCATCCTCCTCAGTGAATTTCATAAAAATAAAATTAGTGAAACATTACAAAAGTTATCCTTTTTAGATTGAACTATACTGAATATATTCACGTCACCAAATAATTGATTAAAACACACTGTTTTGCAATTAAGGTCTGCAGTAGCCACAACGGCACTCTGTAGGGTAGCACCATGGTGTAGCAGGAGGACAGCTAGTTTCCTTCCTCCTGACTTCAAAACAAAACCTAGGAGGCTCATGATTCTCATCCCCTTCCATAGACTTGCACAGTAATTATGACAACTTCTGGAGGACATCCTCCAAACTATCAGAGATCTTGCAGCATGAACTGACATGTTGTCCACCCAATCAAAGGATCAGAAAATTAATCTAGGACTGAAAGCATAAGCTGCAGCTAGATAGCACAGCAGTGCATACAATGAAGGAGCAAGAGAGAGAGAGAGAGAGAGAGAGAGCTAGCTATATTCCATTGTCTTTTTCCCCAAACTTTCACTTAGCTAGCGAATGCAGCTAGGTAGTTTAGCCTACTCAAACACCCGGCTCAAACAGCGAGGGATGCTATGTTAGCTAGCTGGTTATGGCTATTCAATGCTGGAACTCTTCCAAGTCAAGGTAAGCTTTTGGTTTTATTAATTTATTGCCACCGGGGCCCGCCGGTGTAACTGCTAAACTGCTAGCTGACTGTACACTGTACTGCATGATTCTAGCGGGTTTACTAACGCGTTAGTTCTAGTAGTTATGTTGACTTTAGCTAATATGGTAACAACGATGTAGGCTGTGTGTAGCAGTTATGATATGAAGGTTTGGCTTGGAACGTTTTTTTCGCCTGATCTGAGACAGTTTATGTTTTGTGCACTGAAGTCCACAAGCAAAGGGAAAAGGTGAGAGGAGGAGAGTGCGTAGATGCGAGAAGGAGTTATACAACGAGCAAAAATGTGCATGCTGTTTGTATGTGGCTGCTATGAAAGTGAACTGTGTTTGCGTGTGATCAAGTGTGTATTCATTCTGCCGATTCTGTTGAAAAACATTTCTTAAATGGAAGCAAACGGAACGAAACTGGGATATACATACTGGAATTTGTCCAATAGAAACTCTCGTTTGCAACTGTTGGACTAATGATTACACCCTAGATCAGCTAGATGCAGGCAAGAGTGTGCAAGGCGGTATTGAATGTGTCACTGTCTGTCACCTTGATTTCTCAAATTAATAATCTCGACCTGTGTACTTATGTTTTAAACGTTCATTCATAGGCTAAGTTAGGTTGTAGCAACCTCATGATGGGTATAGAGAAAATGTGAGTATCATGTAGTAGCCTAAACCTATTGATGTTACATTGAGCTGGGTGAATGGAATATGAATGACAGTCATATTCTGTATAGAAATAAGGCCATGATCATAAAAAAAAAAAATTGTCCTCCCTCATCTTAAACGTCACCGACCGCCACTGTCCTCATTCACCCCCTAAACCTCATCATTAGTAACCCACAAGTATGCTTAAATAGGTTTGTGCATCATGTCTGGGGAGGCTAAAGAAAGAAAGTGTGTGAACATTGAATACAGCTGATTTCTATTCAAATAGCCTACAGTACCTCAATCAGCAAAATCACCCATTTATATTGAGCTGCGTAGTGTGAGCAAGGTGTGAAGTGACTAGATGAGCTTTGGCCCGTACCCATAATGAGATGGCTCAGATCAGATCGTGGTGGGTAATGTCTGTGTTAAACAATAGAATGTAAATGAGCCTACTGCACATACAGGAAGAGCTGGCTGTGAGCAAACATGGAAATGGGACGTTGTTGGAATGCCAACGCCACCCTGCTGCTCAGCTTCCCTCAGCCTTTCCTGAATACCCATCTGCAGAGGGAGGAAGGGAAGGAGGAAGGTGGTAAAAATAGAGAGAGGTACCAGGGAGGGGGAGAGAGAGCCTATTCTCATTGACGAAAGTTGAAGAGGCACCGCAACGAGATTTTAATTGACATAATATGTACATAAACTTTTCAATTTACATCACATCTTTGTCGTTGTGGCTGGCAACGTGACATTCTTGCTCTGCATCTCCAATTTACGGTAAACATCACAGTAGCCACTAGGCAGTAAACAAGTGTTACGGAGTTAAGAATGTGCGGTAAACTCACTCCAGCGCTAGCTTGAAATATTGCGGATGGAGCCATCCAATCAGTACCTTTTAGGTGTCTCAAACTGTTGGTACGTTGTCGAAGGCGATCACTGGTTCGAGCCCAGTATGGGGCAATCGGACAGTGGAGGAAGTTAAGCACATTGACCCGCGCTACACATGCAAACCTTTCATCTAAAACATAACACTATTACACTCTTGAATAATGGAACCAAACCATAATACACTCTTGAATAATGCAACAATTCACAACCATGTGCAAACAATTAAAGGGTTTATTTCTTGTTTGTACATGCATTAAATTAGCTTGCACAGCTGGCTCCTAGCTAGTAACGTTTGCATATCAAACATGAATATTGTACTCTCTCATACGAATATAAAGGTACTGTAACTATCATACAGTGTCGTTCATAGTATAATAGCTACAGAGCTTGCTATGTAGCAAACTAAACTAAATTATTTCTGCATTCTCCTTAGCTACATCATAAAAGCTGCGTTAGGTAGTTAGCGGAATGCTGACGTTAGCCATAGCTCTTAGGCCTACATTACAATTTAAGTGTATTACATGAAAGGTTCACCCATTTTGAATGTTATATTGTTTTTGTGCATCTCTGAGTGATGTTCTATTGATTCCCTTGGTAATTTCGTGTTTTCATGTGTATCTGAGTTATTGGCGTTCAAGCAGGCAGAAATCAGGCCGGGATGACCTAGCACTGAGATAAAGTCGCTGTCACTACACTGGAAATTAATAGGAATAAGACTTTCAGATTGCGAAAACGTCTATCATACATGTCAGATTTCAATACTGGCCGATGTCATAACTCGGGAGGATGTCTTCTCTCCAATGAGCCATTGATCATATTTTTGCGATATTTGTACCTCGAGAAATGTGTAATTTAATGGAGGGTCTAGCACATTTTTCCTATTTGTCTGCCTCTTTAATCCAGGTGTTTGCATTGTGCCGTTGCCAGAGATATTACAGAAAGGAGATAAGAATCCAATGAATGAAGGTAGGTATAACGCCCGACCTGTCGACTATCGACCAATCACGTTCATGCAGCGTCACGCGGTTGTTAAACTAATCTCGAAAGTACGTAATTTAATGATTCCAAAACTATACGATATTACAGATAGCAAATTCATTATCTCACATCTCAGAAAAGATGTTGACTAAATTCATGCTAATGTTGGGTTTTTGAGCTAGCGCCCAATCGTCCAGAATGCAACGCTCGGCCCATGGCGTAGCATGGCGAATGTTAGACTCCACTCTGTGAGGCACATCGATCTGCAGGTTGAACATGGTGAGATTGTAGACTCCTAATTTGATAGTGCAGTTTGTTTAGGCGATTTTACAGCTAACTACCTACTTTATATGCTGATATTGTCTTTGATATTGTGTGTAGCTACATTTGCTAGCTAGCTAGCCAACCTTATTATAAAACATTAGTGTTATTTAATACTGTAAATTAAAGGCATGAGTGGTTTTGGGTGGATTTTTCCTTTAAGTTACCTTACAAACCAGGCTTCATTATATAAATATCATGGAAGTCATTATATGAGGTAAAAAACATATTGCGACTGAAAACGTTGATAATTCCCAGGGGACTTGATGAACTTCATAATTGCATAGCTAGCTAGATCTTATATTGCCTGGATGGTGGCTCAGTGCAGCACATTTAGATTCTTATACAGCGACAATTTCAGAAAGTAACAGGCAGTTACTGCAATTTCGGGTGAATACTCAATAAAACAAGTCTTAAATATTATGAACACGTCTATACATTTCAGTTGTTTAAAAAACATTACTGTGCTATTGCTATTTTTACTGTAGTAGTGTTGGGCTCAACGAGACAATTATGTTTACACTGCCCTACTTGGAGGGGGGCAAGTGTCGTGCACAACCTCAGGAGGTAGAGGTCGAGACATGGCAAGTTTACATTGCAGTAATAAGTCCATTCACAGGATTTAGTTTGATACCTCTCAAGAATCTCCTTCAACTTTCATCAATGAAAAAGGACCAAAGAGATAGGTACCAAGAGAGGGTGCTGGGAAAGATAGAGAGAGGGGCATACTCTAAGCCAGTTCAGTGTCAGGTTTAATATGAAAATATTTAATTTGCATCTCAATGTATTTCCTTCCATGATTTCAGCCTTTCAGCTCTTGGCTCTGTATCCTCAAATATTCAGGAAGCACTCTCATCAACCTCAGCTTGCTGCATTGGCACAATAAACAATATTCTGCCTAGCATTATATGGTGGACCACCAACAACCTACTGAAGTCGCAGAGAAAACGTTTTTGTAATGTGGGCACATAGAGGATTTCAGTACCTCTATTGAGTACCAGTTCATGCAATGTGATTTCCCTCATAGCCTCATGTGGGTTGTTGTGTTTGTTGATTCATGTTGTATGTTGATTATGGAGATGAGATGATATCATCTTCTCGGTATGCCACCATGGCACCAAGGAATCACTGGGCCTTGTCCTCCATGCTAGATGGAGCTGTCAAGCAACCCATTTTCCCAACATTATTTTCTGGGGACACCTCAGAGTATCCATAGCAACATGCATCAATTGAGCCATTGACCCATTTAGAATCAAAATAGTTTTCTGAAGGACTCTCTGGAGCATGTGAAAATGTGAACTGGGTTTTCTGAAGGACTCTGGAGCATATGAAAACTGTGAACTGGGCCAATCAATGGTCCTGTGAATGGGCTAGCCGTACACGCACACACGTGATTCTGCGAAGCACATAGTGTTACAGTGGTACCCCCTACAGAGTCTGTATCACGGTCTGTTTAGAAAGAGTATCACAGCCAATAAAAGCAGCTGTTAATTGCAAAAATGTCTGTCAATAGACCTTGGACTGTGTGTGTGTGTGATCTCATGATCATGAGAGAGGATGTTTTCCATGGAATATATTATTGAACTGAATAACTAGAATTGTTCTGAACAGCTTATGAGGAGTATGCCTGTATGATCCAGGTCATCACCATGGGTACCAGAAAGCACATGGTCATAGCAGTGGAATCAGCCAGCCGTTCTGCCCCTCCAGACAGTTTGGCTGGGGTTTGGAGGATCAATCGAATCTGATGGCAGAAGTCCCAGCATGTCCTAATATGGTCGGGTACTAGACCGCTAAACTCCATTAAATGCTTTTTGATCTCATGGTAAACAACGATGAGTCATCATGCCTTGTCAGCTGAGAACTAGAACACTTGAACAGAGACATGCTTGCTCTGTCATTTACTTTATTTAGGGCAAGATGACACTTGAATGTGTTATATGAGAGCAACACATTTCCTATTGTTAGCTACAAGGGAACTTAGAAACGACAACATTAAAAAAAACATTTTAGTATCCAGAGCGACTTTCATACATTTGTCATACTGATCCCCCATGGGAATCGAACCCACAACCTTGGCGTTGCAAGTGCCATGCTCTAACAACTGAGCTACACAGGACCAACTATATGTGAAAAAGCGGTGCTCTCAGATTGCAATAAGAGTTAATTGTAGAACTTGTACGGTGGTCCACAAGTTTAGCCTCCAACTTTTAATCAAAACCAAACAATACTTTTGTGCATTCACTGCAAATTATCCAGTAGATTTCTGATTTAGTTTGAATAATTTAATCATTCTATTTCCTATCTCTCCACAGAGGTGCTCATCAGAGTCCAGGTGTTTGACAACAGTGACCTTTCACCTCTGGCAGAGGCTGCAGTGGAGGTTTATGGGAACCAGTCTACCTTGGCATCCAGCAAGGCGGGCAAAGATGGCGTCGTCATGGTCACCTTCCTGTACCACCCTGGCACCTGGGTCATTGTCACGGCAACCAAACAGGGCTTTGTCACTAACTCTGCCCCCTGGCATGCCAGCCGCATCCCCTGTGAGTATAGTGTTTCATCCCTAACATGTCACTCTTTCACCTCAGGAATGAAAATAATGTTGTGTTGTTGTGGTTTACCACCATTCCATCAGTCTTATTCATACTACTTTGTGTGATCACTTTATGAGAACTTAATCCTCACAAAGCTATATTTTGAATACTGATGGCTAAACTATGCAAGTAATGGAAGAATTACAAGAATAATTACCAGAATCCTTTGGGACATTTGATGGAATCAGAGGCCATGATGCCATCATAAAGGAATGTCCAACAAGCCGTCTCTGCCGATCTATCCTCTGTGGGGTGTGGACAGTCCTACCCAGTTGTTGTTTAACCACACATCCCCCACCATATTTCACCTTCTTTGCCTCCTCCTCTCTGGGTCCACTGCCAGGGTGTTACCCCTGCGTCGGCACACCCCAGATGACTCCCACCATCTGCAGCATCTCTGTCTCCACCCGCCCACCCCATCTCACCCAGTTGTTGCTGTAGTGATATCCCACCCTCGGAGCTGCAAATTCAGCCGTAAGGGAAAGAGCTGTCCTGTCGGCACTAGCAGCTGGAAGCCACTTAGCTGTTAGTGCTGGTCTACTTTTAGCATCAGGGCCAAAAAGTGACAGGAGCCTGGGCCTGTATGAACTGTATGTTGTCCTCCACTATCCACCCTTAAGAGTTAACCAACCCCATGGCTGCATCATGGGCCCTGGTCAAAAGTAGTGTACTACATAGGGAATAGGGTGCCATTTGGGAGGCTGACCATGGCTGTGGTGTTTTTTATAGCATCTCTTCTCTGACCTGGCATTGGTCCTTGAGGGTGAAATTGCATGGATGCCAATGCCATCATGCAATGGATAGGGTTGTGACAATTTTTTAATAACCGTGCAATCGACGATTATGGATGAAGTCCGTCATGAAAATAAAATAACCGTCATAACTGTTTTAATGTTAAAAAAAATATATATTGGCTGCTAGATGTAAACCAGGATTACTTTTACTTTGCTGCTTTTGGGTAAAGTTTGTCGACTTTAAATACATTTTATATTCAAGTCGACAAACTTTACCCAAAAGCAGCAAAGTAAAAGTAATCCTGGTTTACATCTAGCAGCTAATATAAGGACAAAGGAGAGGAAGAAAAACTAGCTAGTTTTAGAATTTTGTGTTGTGGAACAAACAGCTAACTGAAGACGGGACGGCCAGGCAATGAAAAAGATGACACGTGCGGTAGGGTTGGGGGTATCCAGATTTTCATACATCATACGTTTCTGTACCTTATCGGGGTGTACGTCCTCTGCCTCCGATGTAAACAAACAACAAAGGGCACTCTATACCAGGCGGTGTCAGAGGAAGGCCCTCAAAATTGTCAAAGACTCCAGTCACCCTAGTCATAGACTGTTCTCTCTGCTACCGCACGGCAAGCGGTACCGGAGTGCCAAGTCTAGGTCCAAAAGACTTCTCAACAGCTTCTACCCCCAAGCCATAAGACTCCTGAACAGCTAATCATGGCTACCCGGACTATTTGCACTGCCCCCCCACCCCATCCCTTTTACGCTGCTGCTACTCTGTTAAGTATTTATGCATAGTCACTTTAACTCTACCCACATGTACATATTACCTCAACTAGCCGGTGCCCCCGCACATTGACTATGCAACGGTACCCCCCTGTATATATAGCCTCCCTACTGTCACTTTATTCTATTGTATATATAGCCTCCCTACTGTCACTTTATTTTTTACTTCTGCTCTTTTTTTCTCAACACTTTTTTGTTGTTGTTTTATTCTTACTTTTTTGTTTAAAATAAATGCACTGTTGGTTAAGGGCTGTAAGTAAGCATTTCACTGTAATGTCTGCACCTGTTGTATTCGGCGCATGTGACCAATAAAATTTGATTTGATTTGATTTGACTCCGTTTTTGAACATACCCGAACCAAGGTGCATTTGGTGGCAGCAAGCATTGTAGACTAAGTTAAAGAGGGTACCCAGGTTATAGTTAACACTCAAAATCAGAAAAAATAATAGACACTACAGCCAGAGTCTTCCGAACAGCCTTACAAGGAGTCTAAACGTCGTGGCTTTGAGCAAGAAATTGACTGTCGGGAGTTAAATGGACTTGACATGGGGAGAGTCATTGTGGGAGATTTTGAAAGCTAAGGTAGGAACATATTTTTCCTTTACAAACTTGTTCTGTACTGTGAACTTAATCTGAGTATGTGCTTCATATTATCACATAGGCAGGAGGCCTACGTATTCTCAAATGTGTGTTCTGCTGTAGCCTACATTGATTTATTTTATTTTAAGTCATATTCCAATATTGTGATATTTGTTCTACCGCTACATTGATGTCTTGAAAATTAGGCTATAAGAAATTTGGACTTGTGTAAGCCCCACAGCTATACTCGAGTATGTGGGGTGTTCTGCAGTGACGTCTAAAATGCTATGAATTAATCAGCACCTTGGAGAGCGCTGTCCATTTCTCCACAATAGATAGTAGGCTACTTGGCTGTTTAGTCTGCCTGCTGCCCTGCTACGTTGTGTTTGTCACTTCTTTTCTCTTACGGTACCTCAGAGCCCCCCGGATAACGCCCCCTCTCGCGCTCACTATGTGTTCCGGGACCTCCCGATTTACAAATTAAGCAGTGTGCATTGTAAGGGCACCCCAACCTCTGATCCCAGGGTTGGGGTCAATTACATTATGAATTCAGTTAATTCAGGAAGTAAAGTTTCATTCCATTTCAGTTAGTATTGGAATAGAAAGTTGGCATTGGAATGTAAGTTTCCTTACTGAATTGAAACAGAATAGTCCCTAACCGTGTTTGATCCCTTCACTGATCTGGCTCCATGCCTTAGACTGTGGTGGGAATATTTCCTGTGGTTTCCATCGTCGTAATTCATCCCTCATACCGTTTGAGTTGATAATGTTCTGAAAGCATCTGTTGTCACTCGAACAGCCAGGTGGATTGATCCAGCACACATTCCTTGTTGATAGTCTCACTGAGGCCTCCAAGCTTTTAAAAGGCCAATAAGCTTTTAACTGCCATTCATTTGCGGGCAGAGAGCTGCTTCAGAAGTGATGGAACATTACTGTAGCTCTTTCCTCCATTATTCCAACCGCAGCACCTTTTTGATCCAATGCTTTTTTACCTGCACTCTCTGATACTGTAGCCTACATTCAATGACATACAGTACCAGTCAAAAGTTTGGACACACCTACTAATTCAAGGGTTTTAATTTTTTAAAACTATTTTCTACATTGTAGAATAATAATGAAGACATCATAACTATGAAATAACACATATGGAATCATGTAGTAACCAAAAAAGTGTTAAACAAATCAAAATATATTTTAGATTTTTAGATTCTTCAAAGTAGCCACCCTTTGCCTTGATGACTGCTTTGCACACTCTTGGCATTCTCTCAACCAGCTTCATGTGGTAGTCACATGGAATGCTTTTCCAACAGTCTTGAAGGAGTTTCCACATATGCTGAGCACTTTTTGGCTGCTTTTCCTTCACTCTGCAGTCCAACTCATCCCAAACCATCTCAATTGGGTTGAGGTCAGGTGATTGTGGAGGCCAGGTCATCTGATGCAGCACTCCATCACTCTCCTTCTTGGTCAAATAGCCCTTACACAGCCTGGAGGTGTTTTGGGTCATTGTCCTGTTGGAAAAACAAATGAAAGTCCCACTAAGCACAAACCAGGTGAGATGGCGTATCGCTGCAGAATGCTGTGGTAGCCATGCTGGTTAAGTGTGCCTTGAATTCTAAACAAATCACTGACTGTCACCAGCAAAGCACTCCCACACCATCACACTTCCTCCTCCATGCTTCACGGTGGGATCCACACATGCAGAGATCATCTGTTCACCTAATGTGCATCTCACAAAGACACGGCGGTTGGAACCAAAAATCTCTCATTTGTACTCATCAGACCAAAGGACAGATTTCCACCGGTCTACTGTCCATTGCTCGTGTTTCTTGGCCCAAGCAAGTCTCTTCTTCTTATTGGTCTCCTTTAGAAGTGGTTTCTTTGCAGCAATTCGACCATGAAGGCCTGATTCACGCAGTCTCCTCTGAACAGTTGATGTTGAGATGTGTCTTTTATTTTAACTGTGAAGCATTTATTTGGGCTGCAATTTCTGAGGCTGGTAACTCTAATGAACTTGTCCTCTGCAGCAGAGGTAACTCTGGGTCTTCCTTTCCTGTGGCGGTCCTCATGAAAGCCAGTTTCATCATAGCGCTTGATGGTTTTTGCGACTGCACATGAAGAAACTTTCAAAGTTCTTGAAATGTTCCGTATTGACTGACCTTCATGTCTTAAAGTAATGATGGACTGTCGTTTCTCTTTGCTTATTTGAGCTGTTCTTGCCATAATATGGACTTGGTCTTTTACCAAATAGGGATATCTTCTCTATAACAACCTTACCTTGTCACAACACAACTGATTGGCTCAAATGCATTAAGATGGAAAGAAATTCCACAAATTAACTTAACAAGGCACACCTGTTAATTGAAATGCATTCCAGGGAATATCTCATGAAGCTAGTTGAGAGAATGCCAAGAGTGTGCAAAGCTATCATCAATGCAAAGGGTGGCTACTTTGAAGCATCTCAAATATAAAATATATTTTGATTTGTTTAACACTTTTTTTGGTTACAACATGATTCCAAATGTGTTATTTCATAGTTTTGATGTCTTCACTATTATTCTACAATGTAGAAAATAGTCAAAATAAAGAAAAACCTTGAATGAGTAGGTGTGTCCAAACCTTTGACTGGCACTGTTTGTTCATAATGATTGAATGAGGAACAATGTTCATCCAAGTGGTAAACCTCTTTCTTGTCTTTTTTGTTTTCTTTTTGTGTTTCTCATTTTCACAAACCCTTTTAATTGCTCTTCCATTTCATATCTGCATTTGTTCCCCAGCCATTGTTGTCTCTGTCAACAAGTTCTCTCCACAGAGCACACACACTGTCAGCAGACTTAGCATTGTAAGTATGGGTATACAGAAATAGACAAACTCCAATGTCCCCAAGTTATCCCCCTGGGCCCTGCCTATTACCCCAATTAAGTTTCCATGGATTCTGGAATCACTGAAGTCATTCTTAAGTGAACTGGATTGGTTAAATGAACTTCATTTGGAATATATTTCATAAGATATTTATTCTCTATAGGTCTATACTATAATCCTATTTAATTTAATTACAGTATATCCATATATATTCCTGAGCCATTTTAATAAGGCACTGTATGGAAATTGGAGAGGGCTGCAGAGTTCTGACAGCAGAACAGAATCATGTCTTTGATGATTGTGATAATGAGAATCCACTCGGTCTGTTTGCATTTCACAAACTTTATAGACACTTAAACCATTATGACATTGCAGAAATCTGAAGAGCAATGCTAGCCTGGTCTCAGTTCTGTTTATATAGTCAACTCATATGGTCGTTATCATAGGGTAGGATTTGGCAAGACTGCACAAACAGATCTGGGACCAGGCTAGGAGATATACAGCTTTGTTGTCCCTATCACAATAACTACCATATGTGTATGAACATAAGTTAATCAATAACTATGTGTAAACTGTTAACGTACTATAACCATGACTCAACAATCTGAGAGAGGATGTGGGTCAGCCCTGCATCCTTTGTCCCATATGCTTTCAAACCCCAAAACGCCTTCCCCCTTAGAGAGATGTCTCTTCAACAGTCTCTGTCAGTAGTGTTCTGTTCATCGCTGACTATGTTTGCCCCTCTATTCTACTCTCGTATTTTATTATCGTCGGTCTAAGAGACACAAATGTCTATTTTGAAAGCCGCAGTGTCCTACAGCCCGGCTAGGCCGTCCCCTCCAGCCCTTCTATAATCTGTGGTTGTCATGCAAGTCCCAGGGATGGATGACTCATCGCCATCGCTGATATGTTTCATTGTGCAGCGAGACTGGGTGCTGCTTCGCTCACAGCTCTGATTGACTCAGCTGAAGTCAGGGGGCAGAACCTGAACTGATCACAACCTGGAAGGGTGGATGATTAAACAGGTGTCTAGGAGGCATTTTCGCATTGCTTTCTTATGTTGACTCTCTTTCCCCTAATGTGGATTCTCTCTCTCTCTCTCTCTCTCTCTCTCTCTCTCTCTCTCTCTCTCTCTCTCTCTCTCTTTCCATCTGTCTTTCCTCCCCATCCCCTTTACCTTCTCCCCTTCCCAAATTCACCCTATCTTTCTCCCTCTGTCACAGTCTTTTCTGGCTCTAGCTCTGGCTCTCTCTCCCCCCATCTGTGCCTCAGGCCTAATGCTGTATATGATCTGCTCTGACAAGCAGTCACCTTCCCCTTTCTCTGCTTCCCATGGTGGAGAATATTAAACACTGTGGGATCTGCCTGTGTGTGTGTGTGTGTGTGTGTGTGTGTGTGTGTGTGTGTGTGTGCGTGTGCGATCTGTGTGTGTGTCTGTGTGCATGAGCGAAAGGGGCGAATGTCACAGTACCATCTATGAACCTGGGGTGGCGTAACCTGCCAGTCTCACTCTAACTGTAGTTCTTAGCTCTTGGAAAGCATCCACCCCCACACAGAGCATACTTATACAGCCTAATAATTCAAGCTGCAGGGAACGGTGTAAACACTGCATGCTGCATCGACTCTCCTTCTAAACCACAGTGACTTCAATCAATCACATTTGATTGGCCACATGCACCGAATACAACAGGTGCAGACATTGCAGTGAAATGCTTACTTACAGCCCTTAAACCAACAGTGAATTTATTTTTAATAAAAAAGTAAAATAAAACAACAACAAAAAAGTGTTGAAAAGTGCAAATAGTCCGGGTAGCCATGATTAGCTGTTCATGAGTCTTATGGCTTGGGGGTAGAAGCTGTTGAAAAGTATTTTGGACCTAGACTTGGCACTCCGGTACCGCTTGCCGTGCGGTAGCAGAGAGAACAGTCAATGACTAGGGTGGCTGGAGTCTTTGACAATTTTGAGGGCCTTCCTCTGACACCGCCTGGTATAGAGGTCCTGGATGGCAGGAAGCTTGGCCCCAGTGATGTACTGGGCCGTACGCACTACCCTCTGTAGTGCCTTGCGGTCGGAGGCCAAGCAGTTGCCATACCAGACGGTGATGCAACCAGTCAGGATGCTCTCGATGGTGCAGCTGTATAATTGTTTGAGGATCTGAGGACCCATGCCAAATCTTTTCAGTCTCCTGAGGGGGAATAGGCTTTGTCGTGCCCTCTTCACGACTGTCTTGGTGTGTTTGGACCATGATAGTCCGTTGGTGATGTGGACACCAAGGAACTTGAAGCTCTCAACCTGTTCCACTACAGCCCCGTCGATGAGAATGGGGGCGTGCTCAGTCCTCTTTTTTTCCCCTGTAGTCCACAATCATCTCCTTTGTCTTGGTCACGTTGCGGGAGAGGTTGTTATCCTGGCACCACACGGCCAGGTCTCTGACCTCCTCCCTATAGGCTGTCTCATCGTTGTCAGTGATCAGGCCTACCACTGTTGTGTCGTCGGCAAACTTAATGATAGTGTTGGAGTCGTGCCTGGCCATGCAGTCATGGGTGAACAGGGAATACAGGAGGGGACTGAGCACGCACCCCTGAGGGGCCCCCATGTTGAGGATCAGTGTGGCAGATGTGTTGTTACCTACCCTTACCACCTGGGGGCGGCCCGTCAGGAAGTCCAGGATCCAGTTGCAGAGGGAGGTGTTTAGTCCCAGGATCCTTGGCTTAGTGATGAGCTTTGAGGGCACTATGGTGTTGAATGCTGAGCTGTAGTCAATGAATAGCATTCTCATGTTGGTGTTCCTCTTGTCCAGGTGGGAAAGGGCAGTGTGGAGTGCAATAGAGATTGCATCATCTGTGGATCTGTTGGGGCGGTATGCAAATTGGGGTGGGTCTAGGGTTTCTGGGATAATGGTGTTGATGTGAGCCATGACCAGCCTTTCAAAGCACTTTATGGCTACAGACATCAGTGCTACGGGTCGGTAGTCATTTAGGCAGGTTATCTTAGTGTCCTTGGGCACGGAGACTATGGTGGTCTGCTTGAAACATGTTGGTATTACAGACTCAGTCAGGGACATGTTGAAAATGTCAGTGAAGACACTTGCCAGTTGGTCAGCACATGCTTGGAGTAAACGTCCTGGTAATCCGTCTGGCCCTGCGGCCTTGTGAATGTTGACCTGCTTAAAAGTCTTACTCACATCAGCTACAGAGAGCGTGATCACATAGTCATCCGGAACAGCTGGTGCTCTCATGCATGCTTCAGTGTTGCTTGCCTCGAAGCGAGCATAGAAGTGGTTTAGCTCGTCTGGAAGTCTTGTGTCACTGGGCAGCTCGCGGCTGTGCTTCCCTTTGTAGTCTGTAATAGTTTTCAAGCCCTGCCACATCCGACGAGCGACAGAGCCGGTGTAGTACGATTCAATCTTAGTCCTGTATTGACTCTTTGCCTGTTTGATGGTTCGTCGGAGGGCATAGTGGGATTTCTTATAAGCGTCCGGGTTAGAGTCCCGCTCCTTGAACGCGGCATCTCTAACCTTTAGCTCAGTACGGATGTGTCCTGTAATCCATGGCTTCTGGTTGGGGTATGTACGTACGGTCACTGTGGGGACGACGTCTTCTATGCACTTATTGATGAAGCCAGTGACTGATGTGGTGTACTCCTCTTTTTATGCATCTCTGTGTGTGGAGTAAAGGTGGTCTAGAGTTTTTTTTCCTCTGGTTGCACATTTAACATGCTGGTAGAACGGATTTAAGTTTCCCTGCATTAAAGTCCCCAGCCACTAGGAGCGCTGCCTCTGGATGAGCGTTTTCCTGTTCACTTATGGCCTTATACAGCTCATTCAGTGCAATCTTAATGCCAGCATTGGTTTGTGGTGGTAAATAGACAGCTATGAAAAATATAGATGAAAACTCTCTTGGTAAATAGTGTGGTCTACAGCTTATCATAAGATACTCTACCTCAGGCGAGCAAAACCTCGAGACTTCCTTAGTATTTGATTTTGTGCACCAGCTGTTGTTTACAAATATACACAGACCGCCAGCCCTTGTCTTACCAGAATCAGCCATTCTATCTTGCCGATGTAACGTATATCCCGCCAGCTGTATGTTGTCCATGTCGTCATTCAGCCACGACTCGGTGAAACATAAGATATTACAGTTTTTAATGTCCCGTTGGTAGGATAACCGTAATCTTAGGTCATCCAATTTATTCTCAAATGATTGAAGATTGGCTAATAGGATTGATGGGAGAGGCAGTTAACTCGCTCGCCGTCGGATCCTTTCAAGGCACCCCGACCTACGTCCACGATATCTCCGTCTCTTCCTCATGCGAATGACAGGGATTTGGGCCTTATCGGGTGTCTGTAGGATATCCTTCGCGGCCGCCTCGTTGAAGAAAAAATCTTCGTCCGATACGAGGTGAGTAATCGCTGTCCTGATATCCAGAAGCTCTTTTTGGTTATAAGAGACGATGGCAGAAACATTATGTACAAAATAAATTACAAATAACGCAGAAAAACACACATAATAGTACAATTTGTTAGAGGGCTGTAAAACGGCAGCCGTCTTCTCTGGCACCATTTAGTTTCTTCACATACAGACATCTGCACACAAAGCTTTCCCTTTATGGAATGATCAGCATTTAACATACAATACACAGTATATGTCTTACCAAGCTGTAGATATATTGTGCATCCAATAAAATAAAATAAATACTTTTTCTTTTAATTATTGTATTTTAAGCTCTTGCAGAATGTATCAAGCAAATGACAACTGTATACCAATTGACTGATTGAGATGAGTGTGCACTTGGTTTTACTGTGAGGATCTGTGCAATGAAAAAATTCACAAAAACCTTAATAAATGTTATGTTTTGAGTCCTTGAGTACATGATGTCTCTGCTGAATTATGCACACAGGCTTATACCTCAGGGGGTACATCAGTAGCAGCAGCACCCTGATTCTTCTCAATAACATTAGCGTGCTTAACCCAGACTGAACACTGTACTCAATGATGCGTTCTGGGATCAGTCTGGTTAAACCAGGGTAGATAGGCACTGGGCACTGCAGCTTACTCCAGCCACCATGCTAATGTGTCCTGGAGAGTAGCCAGCACTTTCTACAGCTTCAGATGGTCCAGATAGCCCTAGGCTATACTGGTCAGTGGGTATAGTCAGATTCCTAGAGACAGATGGGGAAAAAAAACATTCTGGAGTTGAGCCAAGTAATGAATGCCATTCAATAACCTTACTCTACTTCAGTGGTTCCCAAACTGTGGGGCGCGAGGGCCCCCCAAAACTCGGTCCGGGTTTCAACTTACTCCTGAATGTTGTGATAGTAAACTCAGCAAAAAAAATTGTAAAAATCAAAATAACTTCACAGATCTTCATTGTAAAAGGTTTAAACACTGTTTCCCATGCTTGTTCAATGAACCATAAACAATTAATGAACATGCACCTGTGGAACGGTCGTTAAGACACTAATAGCTTACAGACGGTAGGCAATTAAGGTCACAGTTATGAAAACTTAGGACACTAACGAGGCCTTTCTACTGACTCTGAAAAACACCAAAAGAAAGATGCCCAGGGTCCCTGCTCATCTGCGTGAACGTGCCTTAGGCATGCTGCTGTACTTAATGAGGAGGAGATGCACTGCTGTACTTAATGCAGCTGGTGGCCACACCAGATACTGACTGTTGCTTTTGATTTTGACTCCCCCTTTGTTCAGGGACATATTAGTCACATGTCTGTGGAACTTGTTCAGTTTATGTCTCAGTTGTTGAATCTTGTTATGTTCATACAAATATTTACACATGTTAAGTTTGCTGAAAATAAACGCAGTTGACAGTGAGAGGACGTTTCTTTTTTTGCTGAGTTTAGAATGCACAAGGTGCAATTTTGAAATTGGGTAGTGCATCAGCAGTTTTCCTCACGTCATGTCAGTCATTGCAGAGAGCTATTTGTAACTCAGAAATGTCCAGATCAGCTAACCTTTTTTAGCAAGGTTTTTTTAGCCCATTGCTTTTGTTGTAATGTTTGAGTCACTCAAATATCACATGAACACACATAAGACATGGCAAAATGGGTAGAATTGTAGGAAATGAGCTATAAAACTGAAAACTGTTCTCTGCACCGCATGACAAAATGTATAGAATTGCAGGAAATTAGCTTTAAAACTAGAACCGCTTGAATGTTGGTGTTTTTAGTTGTTAAACTAATGAAAATCTTTTTTTTATTTTTATAAAAATATATTTTCATAAGTTTCACAACTAAAAACGCCAACATTCAAGTGTTCAATCAGTTTTTGTTCGTGGAGTGCCTTTGTTGCAAATATAACAACAAAATAAAAAAAATACCCCAACCACAAACACGCATGGTCAGCAAGACACACAGTCAAATTATGAAAACATAAGTATCCTAAACATCATTATAGTGTGCTTTTATCAAGTTCATCAAGTGTGCTTGGTAAATAGTGAAGATCTGAACAAAAGCAAAAATGGCATTATAATGAATAGAAGTATCTATAAGACAGCAGTAAAAAAGTAGTCAATTATTGTCAGTGCTTGCTGTTCCTTACAAACTTGTTCCAAATGTCGGATACCATGGCGAATTTGTCTGTTTTCCAGGCGTCACGTTCTAGTTTCTTTGTCATCAAAATGGAGGTAACGCATGATCTCTCTGAAGCGATCCCGTGACATGCTTTCTCCAAAGAAAGGTATCCCATACATTTTGTGTGATAATCGGCCCGTAGCATTGGGTCCCATGTTTCATACGCACAAAAAGCTTATTTCTCTCCAATTTTGTGCACACATTTGTTTACATCCCTGTTAGTGAGCATTTATCCTTTGCCAAGATAATCCATCCACCTGACGGGTGTGGCATATTAAGAAGCTGATTAAACAGCATGATCATTACACAGGTGCACCTTGTGCTGGGGACAATAAAAGGCCACTGTAAAATGTGCAGTTTTGTCATACAACACAATGTCTCAAGTTTTGAGGGAGCAATTGGCATGCTGACTGCAGGAATGTCCGCCAGAGCTGTTGCCAGAGAATTGAATGTTCATTTCTCTACCATAAGCCGCCTCCAACGTCGTTTTAGAGAATTTGGCAGTACGTCCAACTGGCCTCACAACTGCAGATCACGTGTAACCACGCCAGCCCAGGACCTCCAAATCCAGCTTCTTCACCTGCGAATCGTCTGAGACCAGCCGCCCGGACAGCTGATGAAACTGAGTAGTATATTTTTTTGTAATAAAGCTCTTTTGTTGGGAAAAACTCATTCTGATTCGCAGGGCCTGGCTCCCCAATGGGTGGGTCTGGCTCCCAAGTGGGTGGGTCTATGTCCTCCCAGGCCTACCCATGGCTGCGACCCTGCTCAGTCATGGGAAATCCATAGATAGGGCCTAATGAATTTATTTCAATTGACTGATTTCCTTATATGACCTGTAATTCAGTAAAATCGTTGAAGTTGTTGCGTTTATATTTTTCTTCAATATAGTTTAGGTTCAGTTTCGAGGCAATTATCGGGGTGATTATCAACTGGGCACGGCACTTTCAAATGTCGGGAGAAGGAGCTGAGCAAGACCTACTGTCTGGAGAAGGAGGGGCAATAGGGGAAAACCATTTAAAAAAATGACATGCCCTCTTAAAACTGATTATAACTTCAGTTCTGTTTGTGATATTAAGATTCTAACAACAACAGTGTGTTATGACTTAACAAATGGCAGAGTAATATTTTTTTTAAATTCATGACCAGTCCAAATTACTGCTTTAGTGGTTCTAGTGTTAAAATGGCAAAAAAAGCCTCCATCCCATGGCACATTTTATAGAATGGCAGGAAATAAGCTTTAAACCTGCAAAATGTTTTCTCCGCCAACAAGATGGGTTTGAATAGTGCTTGTACCCATAGAAATATATACATGGTGCGGGATGTTCCCCAATGCTGGAAGTGGGGCCTGAGTGAAAACGTTTGGGAACCCATGCTATACTTAATACCTGGCTTATACCTAATGCTAATACCTGACAAGCAGAGACATGTCCTAGGTTTCACAGAATAGTGCTGGTTGTTTAGTCTACACCCTCTCGAGATATAATCTAATACATGTAACTCTCCTGATCAGGCAAAGCATACACCTGTCAGGAGTGTAAAGACAGCACACATCCTTCCACGCCCCCTGAACACAAAGGCGAAAGGACAGAGAGGCTTGTCAATGTCAAGAGTGTTTTGAATCTATCCTGATCGCTTTCGCTCTGGGTGGATTTCAATGCCTCGTCACAATCCCTCTTTCAAAATGAAGCTCAGATGTCAACGAACAGAGACTGTTATTGCTTTTTACCTGTCTACTCACCTAGTGGACTCGGGTTGCAGACACACACACACTCCTTTCAGTGTGCCTGTCAGGGAGGGAACTCTTAGGTGGGATGCACTAGGATTTCCTCACCACACGTATATAGTATACTCTGTGGACCGCTGAGGAATGAGGTGGCCTGGTTTCTTTATATAACCCCATGCTGGCCATGTTGTTTGTCTTGCTGCACAGCTGGAAACACTTTGTGAAGGGAGCAATCTAGGTCATGACTGTCTCTTCGTGTTTGATAAACGTTGTGTTGTTATGACTTGGGGGCGGGGGGGGGGGGACAATACAGCAGTCAACAGAGACAGGTGTCTGTCTGATTGATGATTGATCTGTCATAACTAACTCTGCTTGTTTTGTTTCTCTCTCTCTCTCTCCCTTTTTTTCTCTCTCTCTCTCTCTCTCTCTCTCTCTCTCTCTCTCTCTCTCTCTCTCTCTCTCTCTCTCTCTCTCTCTCTCTCTCTCTCTCTCTCTCTCTCTTCTCTCTCTCTCAGTGTATGCGTCAGTCAGCCTGTACCTGCTCCCCCAGCGGCCTGCCACCCTGATCCTGTATGATGACGTAGTCCAGGTTCTGCTGGGATCCCCAGGTGAGTGTCTACATACATACCTACCTGTAACTGCCTGGTCCTGTATGATGACGTAGTCCAGGTTCTGCTGGGATCCCCAGGTGAGTGTCTACATACATACCTACCTGGTCCTGTCTGGTCCTGTATGATGACGTAGTCCAGGTTCTGCTGGGATCCCCAGGTGAGTGTCTACATACATACCTACCTGTACCTGCCTGGTCCTGGATGGCTCAGTTGGTAGAGCATGGCTCTTGCAGCACCGGGATTGTGGGTTTGTTTCCCGGCCCCCCCCATACGTGAAATGTATTTATGCATGCATGTCTGTAAGTCACTTTGAATAAAAGCGTCTTCTAAATGGCATATATAAAATATATACCTATACCTTCTCCAAACTATACTTACCGTCCTCTTTTACACATCTCTCCTCTTCCTCCAAACACAAATCTCCATGACAAAATGTCTGGCTTGTGGCTTTTCAACCCTTCTCCACGTGACCTTAGATGGACAAAATCAACATGCGTGCGATGGCGCACGCAGACGCACGCGCGTGCCCGGTCTAGTCAGCATGTAAGTGGCAGAACAAATGGAGCGTGCTGTCCTCTAGCAATGCAAGCCTGTCTGTATTCAAAGCCAATGACATCACTAATACATCACCTGGCCGCTACACTACAGCAAAAGAGAAACAGGCTTTTATTGCCAAATCAGCTAATCACATGTCTTAGTAGTGTGCGTGTGCGTGTTCGTGCGTGCGGATGGTGTGTGTGTGCGCTTCTGGGTGCGTGGGTTCATGCTTTTGTGTGTGTGTGTTTATTGCCCGAGCGATAATCGAACAGATCCGATAAAATACACTCGTAACTTTCCACGTTGTTGATAGTGCCAATAAACCAGCAGCACAGAAGATATAGCATCCAAATTAAATTGACCTAGATACAGCACTCTTATCTGCCTCAAGGCATTTCTAGGCAAACCAAACAGGCTATAAATGTCTTCCTGAATTTACGCCTGTTTAGGAATGGGCTGGGTGTAAAGTGCATGCTTTGTTAATCTCTAAGAAATAAATTAAAGAAAGACTTATAGATTCACCAGTCGTTGTTCCATATGATTTTAATAATTGCTTTCACAGCAGCAGGAGCAGTGTGTATTATTGTTGTGTTGTTATAGCCCACATTATGGGACGTGATAAATTGTGATAAACGTGATAGATAAGTTCCTGTTTAATGATACCCTCTGAGTGTGAAAATCTAATTCAAGCATATTTATTTTATAAACCCGTTTTTACATCAGCAGTTGTCACAAAGTGCTTTACGGATACCTAGCCTAAAAAGAGCAAGCAATGCAGAGCCAGATGCACAGTGGCTAGGAAAACAATCATAACCTGCAGTTGGGGGTTTGGGGTGTGTGTTTCGGGGAATGCTGGGTAAGAAAATGATGTTCTATCTTTAACTCTCTATTCCTCTTAAATATACAGTATGAGGTGTTAGCAATAGGCACAGTGTACACCTCCCTGTCTTCTCACCCTCCTTCTTCCTCACTATATCATTCCCTTCGTCTCTGTCAGTTTCTCTGCTTACGCTGCCAGTACAGTGCTGTACGTGGTGCCACAGCCAAGTGAATTAAATATATAATCATGGCGTCATCCCTCAACGTCCCATCACCTGTCCAGTCCAATGAGTGAGCCAGAATGATGTAATCCACTCCAACCAAGGCCCCTTAGGAAATCTGTACATGTGACATGCTCACACTTTCTCTGTAGCTCTTGCTCTCTCAATTTCTCTCTCTTCCTTTCTCTCTCGCTCTCTCTCTCTGACACACACATCACACATTCTCTTTACCAGTGGTGGGAAAAGTACCCAATTGTCGTACTTGAGTAAAAGTAAAGATACCTTAATAGAAAATGACTCAAGTAAAAGTGAAAGTCACCCAGTAAAGTACTACTTGAGTAAGTATTTGGTTTTAAATATACTTAACTATCAAAAGTAAATGTAATTGCAAAAATGTACTTAAGTATCAAAAGTTAAAGTACAAGTATAAATCATTTCAAATTGCTTATATTAAGCAAACCAGATGGCAAAATTGTCTTGTTTTTATAATTTACGGATAGCCAGGGGCACACTACAACATGCAGACATCATTTACAAACAAAGCATTTGTGTTTAGTGAGTCCTCCAGATCAGAGGCAGTAGGATGACCAGGGATGTTCTCTTGATAAGTGCGTGAATTGGACCATTTTCCTATCCTGCTAAGCATTCAAAAAGTTAAAAGTACATTATTTTCTTTAGGAATGTAGTGGAGTAAAAGTAAAAGTTGTCAAAAATATAAATAGTAAGTACAGATACCCCCAAAAATACACCACTGCTCTTTTCTGTCTATCAACTGAATCTCCATACCTCCTCCCTCTCTCTCTCTCTCTCTCTCTCTCTCTCTCTCTCTCTCTCTCTCTCTCTCTCTCTCTCTCTTCTCTCTCTCTCTCTCTCTCTCTCTCTCTCTCTCTCTCTCTCATCTCTCTCTCCTCTCTCCCCCCCCCCCCCCCCTCTCTGAACTGTCAAGCCCAGGGCCCCAGATGCAGCGGTTTTCCCATATCTCCTTAACGATCCCAGAATCTGGGACTGATGTGACTGTATGTGTGCGTGACAGGATGAGAGGCATTTATTGTGACTGCAGCGCATTGATTAATTATGCCCCAGACAGGTTTCTCTCTTCCTCTGCTCTTCCCTCTGTCAAGAGGTTCTTTCATGCTGTAATTGCTTACATATTACTCCACCCCCATGTAGTGTTTTAGTGTTGCCGATTTATATGGCAAGGAGATGCTTCCTTTACTTGTTCAATTGATTTGGGTCTACCTTAGGTAGTTGTATGTACAACTGTTGTACAAACTTACCCCACCAGACATGCCACCAGAGGTCTTTTCACAGTCCCCAAATTCAGAACAAATTCAAGAAAGCGTACAGTATTATATAGAGACATTATTGCATGGAACTCCCTGCTATCTCATATTGCTCAAATGAACAACAAACCTGGTAAAAAACAACAACTGATAAAGCAACACCTCATGGCACAACGCCTAAAAAAAGTGTTGAGAAAAACAACAAAAAAAGTGTTGAGAAAAAAAGAGCAGAAGTAAAATAAATTAACAGTAGGGAGGCTATATACACGGGGGTACCGGTGCTTAGTCAATGTGCGGGGGCACCGGCTAGTTGAGGTAATATGTGGGTAGAGTTAAAGTGACTATGCATAAATAATAAACAGAGTAGCAGCAGCGTAAAAAGATGGGGTGGGGGGGGGGGGGGGGGGGGGGCAGTGCAAATAGTCCGGGTAGCCATGATTAGCTGTTCAGGAGTCTTATGGCTTGGGGGTAGAAGCTGTTGAGAAGCCTTTTGGACCTAGACTTGGCGCTCCGGTACCGCTTGCCGTGCGGTAGCGGAGAGAACAGTCTATGACTAGGGTGGCTGGAGTCTTTTACAATTTTGAGGGCCTTCCTCTGACACCGCCTGGTATAGAGGTCCTGGATGGCAGGAAGCTTGTCCCCAGTGATGTACTGGGCCGTACGCACTACCCTCTGTAGTGCCTTGTGGTTGGAGGCCGAGCAGTTGCCATACCAGGCGGTGATGCACCCAGTCAGGATGCTCTTGATGGTGCAGCTGTATAACTTTTTGAGGATCTGAGGACCCATGCAAAATCTTTTCAGTCTCCTGAGGGTGAATAGGCTTTGTCGTGCCCTCTTCACGACTGTCTTGGTGTGTTTGGACCATGATAGTTTGTTGGTGATGTGGACACCAAGGAACTTGAAGCTCTCAACCTGTTCCACTACAGCCCCCCGTCGATGAGAATGGGGGCGTGCTCAGTCCTCTTTTTTTTCCTGTAGTCCACAATCATCTCCTTTTGTCTTGGTCACGTTGAGGGAGAGGTTGTTATCCTGGCACCACACGGCCAGGTCTCTGACCTCCTCCCTATAGGCTGTCTCATCGTTGTCAGTGATCAGGCCTACCACTGTTGTGTTGTCGGCAAACTTAATGATGGTGTTGGAGTCGTGCCTGGCCATGCAGTCATGGGTGAACAGGGAATACAGGAGGGGACTGAGCACGCACCCCTGAGGGGCCCCCGTGTTGAGGATCAGTGTGGCAGATGTGTTGTTACCTACCCTTACCACCTGGGGGCGGCCCGTCAGGAAGTCCAGAATCCATTTGCAGAGGGAGGTGTTTAGTCCCAGGATCCTTGGTTTAGTGATGAGCTTTGAGGGCACTATGGTGTTGAATGCTGAGCTGTAGTCAATGAATAGCATTCTCATGTAGGTGTTCCTCTTGTCCAGGTGGGAAAGGGCAGTGTGGAGTGCAATAGAGAGTGCATCATCTGTGGATCTGTTGGGGCGGTATGCAAATTGGGGTGGGTCTAGGGTTTCTGGGATAATGGTGTTGATGTGAGCCATGACCAGCCTTTCAAAGCACTTTATGGCTACAGACATCAGTGCTACGGGTCGGTAGTCATTTAGGCAGGTTATCTTAGTGTCCTTGGGCACGGAAACTATGGTGGTCTGCTTGAAACATGTTGGTATTACAGACTCAGTCAGGGACATGTTGAAAATGTCAGTGAAGACACTTGCCAGTTGGTCAGCACATGCTCGGAGTACACGTCCTGGTAATCCGTCTTACTCATATCGGCTATGGAGAGCGTGATCACATAGTCATCCGGGACAGCTGGTGCTCTCATGCATGCTTCAGTGTTGCTTGCCTCGAAGCGAGCATAGAAGTGGTTTAGCTCGTCTGGTAGGCTTGTGTCACTGGGCAGCTCGCGGCTGTGCTTCCCTTTGTAGTCTGTAATCGTTTTCAAGCCCTGCCACATCTGACGAGCGTCAGAGCCGGTGTAGTACGATTCAGTCTTAGTCCTGTATTGACTCTTTGCCTGTTTGATGGATCGTCGGAGGGCATAGCGGGATTTCTTATAAGCGTCCGGGTTAGAGTCCCGCTCCTTGAAAGTGGCATCTCTACCCTTTAGCTCAGTGCGGATGTTTCCTGTAATCCATGGCTTCTGGTTGGGGTATGTACGTACAGTCACTGTGGGGACGACGTCATCGATGCACTTATTGATGAAGCCAGTGACTGATGTGGTGTACTCCTCAATGCTATCTGAAGAATCCCAGAACATGTTCCAGTCTGTGCTAGCAAAACAGTCCTGTAGCTTAGCATCTGTGTCATCTGACCACCTTTTTATTAACCGAGTCACTGGTGCTTCCTGCTTTAGTTTTTGCTTATAAGCAGGAATCAGGAGGATAGAGTTATGGTCAGATTTGCCAAATGGAGGGCAAGGGAGAGCTTTGTATGCATCTCTGTGTGTGGAGTAAAGGTGGTCTAGAGTTTTTTTTCCTCTGGTTGTACATTTAACATGCTGGTAGAAATTAGGTAGAACTGATTTAAGTTTCCCTGCATTAAAGTCCCCGGCCACTAGGAGCGCTGCCTCTGGATGAGCGTTTTCCTATTTACTTATGGCCTTATACAGCTCATTGAGTGCAATCTTAATGCCATCATTGGTTTGTGGTGGTAAATAGACAGCTATGAAAAATATAGATGAAAACTCTCTTGGTAAATAGTGTGGTCTACAGCTTATCATAAGATACTCTACCTCAGGCGAGCAAAACCTCAAGACTTCCTTAGTATATGTCTCGTTGGTAGGATAACCATAATCTTAGGTCAGCTAATTTATTTTCAAATGATTGAACATTAGCTAATAGGATTGATGGGAGAGGCAGTTTACTCGCTCTTTTTCCTTACAAGGCACCCTGACCTACGTATGTATTGATATGTAGGCTATGTCTGCCATTTTTACATGTATGTAGTTCTGTCCTTGAGCTGTTCTTGTCTATTAATGTTCTGTATTATGTCATGTTTCATGTCTTGTGTGGACCCCAGGAAGAGTAGCTGATGCTTTCGCAAAAGCTAATGTGGATCCTAATAAAATATCACAAATACTTAACCAGCTCCAATGACTAGCTACCCCTGTGTTCTTAGTTAGTTAGTCAGGTTTGAATAGTACTTAATTGAGTCAGGATGAGATACAGTTATACAACTCTTTTAACATCTAGAGCATCTGGCAACTTTTATAGAGGATGTGGTCATTTTGCTGACACACACTCTCTCTCACACACACTCTCACACACACACGCACACTCTCTCTCTCACACACACTCTCTCTCTCACACACACACACACACACTCTCTCTCACACACACACACTCTCTCGCACACACTCTCTCTCTCACACACACTCTCCCACTCTCTCTCAATGCCTCCAGGGTATTCTCGCTCAGTCGGTTAAGACACACACACGTACTCACACACACTCCCTCTCTCACACACACTCTCTCTCTCACACACACACACTATCCCACTCTCTCGCGCTCTCTCTCAATGCCTCCAGGGTATTCTCGCTCAGTCGGTTAAGCGAGGAGCAGTTTAGCACGTTTTCTCTGCTGTATCTCTAAGCGGTAGAGACGAGTCTCTCAGGAGGACTAAGCACGGTAGTGTATCACGACGAGGGCCTTAGTAACAGGGAGAAGAAAGACAGTAGATCCTTGTGCTGATGGATAGGAACTGATGAGAGGCCATCTGAAAGTGCAGCGCTCAGTGCTGAGGCTGGTCACCGTGGAGACAACCGGTGGCAGGAAACTAAAGTGTTTTGGAGAGATGGAGGAGTACCAATGAAGGGGGAGAGGAGAGGGGGGTGCTTTTCAAGCTGTGTTTGACAAAACCCAAAATGCTGTGTTTGGTAGAGTGGGACTGTTAGTGTGGCTGTGTACTTGAAAGCATGCAGCACATGATTGGTGTAATTAAGCTGTGTAATCACAAGGTATGTTAGCTATTTAGTCAACATTGTAGCCTATTTGAGTGTTAGTCCAGTCTGTGTTATTGTCATTATGGTTGAACTAAAACTGAAACATCATTGCACAAGTAGTAGCAGCTACTGTATATCATTCAAGGACAGCCTGCAATGAAGGCATCATTGTACAACCTTGATCTTTTTATCTCTTTCGTTACATTGTTTTAAAGATGATTCAATATACTTAACACTCCTTCTATCTTTGCCCATAAAGCCTACATTTCTCTTCCTAGCAGAATCACCCCATTGTGATGTGAGTTCAGAACAGCGCTACTGAAATAGGCCAAGGTTGAATTGACTCCCCTATATGTTGTGTTGCATAGAGTGTGTTAAGTCTCTTGGCTCAGACATCATAATAATGCATTACTGGGGATGAAGCAGTGTTGCTGTGAATGACTGGGTAGACCGCTGTAGCTTTACACACAGTTCACTTTTGGAGGCCAGTTTCAATAACTTTTGCCAAATGGATTGAAGCCATTCACACAATTAATTTGAGCAGCACGGGATGCTAAGTTATCCCCTCGACAGTCCTTTGGTGGAGGCATATTCAGGCTCTGAAGGTACTGTGCTATGAGGGGTTGTTAGCCAGTCAAAGGCCCTAGAAGTATGTCTCAACCTTTACTCATCTGGTTGTGTGTCTTATCTGTGTGCTTCATGATAGAGACCATAGCAGGGATATCGATACGGCTATTTCTCAGCTATGGCATTGAGCCTGATTTGTCCACATCTACAGAAAAACCTCTAGGGAAGTCAATTGGTTGTCTCAGAAAATGGGTAAACACATAGTGTCAGCAGTAAGTGGCTGTAACCTAGCTAGCACAAATCATGCTGTGATTCAATCAATCACTGCTCCCCAGCTGCACTTCTAACTCAAATGTCAAGCCTTTACGACACACACACATAACATTATGTAAATGTCAACAGCCTCCGCGTCTGGCATATGCTGCTCTGCAGTGGCTACGCTCGGTCGTCACGCTTTCCCATCATGCCTCTCTCCATATGCTCTGCCCCCTCCATTGTTTCTGTCCTTGCTCTGTGATGTTGTACTGAACACCTGGGCCTTGTCCGTTGGTATGGAAATGAGGGAACAAAGGGTACAGAGCGTTCTCAGAAATCCCACTTGTCCTATCTCATCCTGCTGTCTCGACGCCAAGCCATGTCGCAGCATCAAGCCTTTTTATATGTTGATTAGTGCTGTGGCGTATAGCACAATTATTCAGCAGCACCCATTTAGTATGAAGCCCTATCTTTTGAGTCTGGATGAGGTAGGGGCATACATTTTAGTGTGCATGGAACATTTCTGGGATCTTTTATTTCAGCTCATGAAACATGGGACCAACACTTTACATGTTGCGTTTATATGTTTGTTCAGTATATATATATATACTTTTTTTTTAAGGGGGGGGGTCAATTTAAACCAACCCACCCTAATAGAAGATGGTCCGGCCCTTCTGGTATTTGTCAGAACTGCCAGACCGCCATTCCGCCCATGCCATAGGAGCTTGGACACAGTGTGTCCAGCATGATCAAATACCTAGAGAGAGTGCCTCCAGACAGACACTGGAAAGCTGCCAAACCATCCCAGACCACAGGCACCTCTGCCTCCTCAGCCAGCCACCAAACTCTAAACTCAATGGGGTTAGCGTTAGCATGGGCTTTACAGCGCAACACACAAAGAGGCACTCCCCAGTCCTCACTCCTGTGTGTTTTCCAGTCTAGTTGACAGATGGCATGCTTCGGCTGAACTTTCACCCCCAGCCAACCCCTGGCTCTGGGCGGCATCAATAAGACGACGTCACATAATGCAGGGCACCGCCATTCATTTGTCACCTCTGATGGCGGTACCCCCTCAACGTCAAAAGCACTTATCCATCTAGAAAAGGTTCAGTTGTATGCCTGCGTCTTCTGTCTTCTATGCATGACCTTACTTTTGGTGAATGAATGAGTAGGGCTGTGGCAGTCACAAAATTTCGCCAGCCGGTGATTGTCAAGCAAATGCCTGTCGGTCTCACGGTAATTGACCGTTAATTAACATAAACACATTTAGCATCTCCTGGCTTCCACACATAGCCTACAAGCCACTTATGCAGACCTTTGGAACATCTACATTTTAAAAAGTCTAATAAATCCATTATTTATTTTAAACAGGTCTAAAGAAGCATGATATGAAGAAAATGTAGTCTATTTCAGAAGAACAGAATAGCATACTCTGAGTTGTCCCTATGTTAGGTTCTGATCTGGCTGTTGCCAAATGGCTGTGGCCTACACTAGTTCATTTAACAGACAAGATTTGCTTAGAATTCCGTGGCATTATTTATATTATTTTATAGTATGAAGAATACAATTGAACAAAGCTGAATAAAATAGAAAGGATATTTTCTCCAAACAATTTGAGGGAGTGTGCACATGTGGCTTTTCTGTGTTGAGCGGTTAACAAATAAATAGGTACTCCTATATGCTTAATTTAGAGTTATTAATGTAACTTTAGTTGTTCTACAAACGTTGGGCTATATGTTTTGATTTTTAATACATTGTAAGGCTGCATGATGTGACTCTAATGATGATTTGAAAAAAGTCGCTTGAAAGACATGAGCTCTGCTTTGTTTTTTTGCGCAGGCTGTACACAATTCACCAGTCTCTCGTTCACAATTTGACAAGCATTTCACGGTGGCATCCCCTTTGTGTGGCCATAATGCTCCCTAAAAAAATCCATGACATTTGCGGCCAAAGGCCGTTGTGCCCTTGGCCCGGAGTGCTGCGTGCTCCGAAGCACCTCTCACTCACATGGCTCTCCATCTCACAGGCTACAAGTGAAGACCGACACATCGGGGACGCAACTGCTCATGTCCTTATCCAATTCCGAGGTGCATATTGACGATATTGGAAGAACTGTCCACATTTACTTTTCATCAGCCAACAAAATGAGTAGGCCTAACGAACAGCAAAATCACTAGCCTATGTCAATCTACTATCCCCCATAGTACAAAAGTTGACATATTCTGTGTGAGAAATAAATATTCCAAACATAGTCTTTTTTACGCAATGTGGCTGAAGCAACAGATCAGAGCGTTTAGCTTAAAATGTTGATAAACTATTAGGCTATTTCTTCACATTATAAGCGCAACAATGTGCACACGGCAGCAGTCTATAAGCACGGATGTTCCATTAGCGGGAAAACACCATTATCAAAATGTGATTATTCATGTAATGCTTTTGTTATAAAGGTGCATTTTTATGGTGAAAATTTTCTTCACCAAACTTGAAACACACGCGCTGCTTATGTATGCCAGTTAGACTCTACACCCCATGTAAAGCGGATTAATGTGCTTCATTTTAAGAAGTTATTTGGCCACTTTAGTTGTGATACAAACCCTATCAAAACATATAGGCCTATGGGCTAGGCTACATGAGGTATGCGACTATGATTAGAAAAAGCAGCAAATAAAAAGGTATTGTCTCTTGCCTTATGCTGGGCATCATTCACAAGTGATAATATATAAATCACAAGTGATAGGCTAATATTGTCACCCATCAGACTATTCTTGATTTAATCTTGTCTTTACATATACTAAATAATATATGTGTGAAATTTGTTTTGATTTAGAATGGACCATTATCATGCACCTATCTCGAAACAGGAGCAGGGGAAAAAACACATGTCATCTATGCACTTAAATAGCAAATGGAGGACCGCTTTTCCCTTGGTTCATTTTCATGCCATCCAGGTAGGCTATACTCCTGTTGTAAAGATACAGTGGGGAAAAAAAGTATTTAGCCAGCCACCAATTGTGCAAGTTCTCCCACTTAAAAAGATGAGAGAGGCCTGTAATTTTCATCATAGGTACACGTCAACTATGACAGACAAATAGAGAGAAAAAAATCCAGAAAATCACATTGTAGGATTTTTTATGAAATTATTTGCAAATTATGGTGGAAAATAAGTATTTGGTCACCTACAAACAAGCAAGATTTCTGGCTCTCACAGACCTGTAACTTCTTCTTTAAGAAGCTCCTCTGTCCTCCACTCGTTACCTGTATTAATGGCACCTGTTTGAACTTGTTATCAGTATAAAAGACACCTGTCCACAACCTCAAACAGTCACACTCCAAACTCCACTATGGCCAAGACCAAAGAGCTGTCAAAGGACACCAGAAACACAATTGTAGACCTGCACCAGGCTGGGAAGACTGAATCTGCAATAGGTAAGCAGCTTGGTTTCAAGAAATCAACTGTGGGAGCAATTATTAGGAAATGGAAGACATACAAGACCACTGATAATCTCCCTCGATCTGGGGCTCCACGCAAGATCTCACCCCGTGGGGTCAAAATGATCACAAGAACGGTGAGCAAAAATCCCAGAACCACACAGGGGGACCTAGTGAATGACCTGCAGAGAGCTGGGACCAAAGTAACAAAGCCTACCATCAGTAACACACTACACCGCCAGGGACTCAAATCCTGCAGTGCCAGACGTGTCCCCCTGCTTAAGCCTGTACATGTCCAGGCCCGTCTGAAGTTTGCTAGAGTGCATTTGGATGATCCAGAAGAGGATTGGGAGAATGTCATATGGTCAGATGAAACCAAAATAGAACTTTTTGGTAAAAACTCAACTCGTCGTGTTTGGAGGACAAAGAATGCTGAGTTGCATCCAAAGAACACCATACCTACTGTAAAGCATGGGGGTGGAAACATCATGCTTTGGGGCTGTTTTTCTGCAAAGGGACCAGGACGACTGATCCGTGTAAAGGAAAGAATGAATGGGGCCATGTATCGTGAGATTTTGAGTGAAAACCTCCTTCCATCAGCAAGGGCATTGAAGATGAA